GTCGCGGCACCGCTGCGAGCGGCTGCACGTGCTGGCTGGGTGCAGAGGTGGTCTGGGATGCTCGCTGTTGCTGCGATGCGAGCCTACGCGGCTTCTCTGCTCGAGCTCCCACCCACTGGTGAGGCCTGCGTGGCGGGTGAGGCGCCGGAACTGCATGAAATCCTCGCGGATGTGCAGGGCAGCCTCCGCCTGACCATCGCCTCCCGGCGCCAACCTCACACGCTGCCTGACGCCCGCCGTAGGCTGTAGCCCCGATTGCACTGGGACCGCGTCGACGGCTTCAAGAAGGTGCGTGAAAAAAATATTTGATTGCCCCCGCTAGATCAAGACATTCTGTTAATCCAATGATGGGACGATTTCATTCGAAACCGTGTTATGTCCCCGCCTGTGTTGATCGTGAAGGGCCACAGCCGTGTTGTGACGGTGTTGTGACGCTGTTGGCATGCCTCGACTCCGTCATGAAGGAGGGCCCGGACATGTGCGAGTCTTTGTGCTTTGAGTTGCCAGCCCGTGCTCGTGCTCGAGCCCACAACCGGACGAAGTTGGCTGCTTCAGCACTCCAGCGTCCGCCAACCTCGATGCCGAGGACGACCAAGCGGCACCGCGACGCTCCCGAACTCAGGGTAGGTGCGTTCCTTGCTTCGGCGGGCATCTGCAAGGGCTGCGCCGGCGGTGGCTCCACTGCGGCGGCGGGGTGCCCCAGCTGACGTTGGTGGGGACACCAATGTGGTGTCAACTGCGAGCTGTGAGCCACCCCACAAGGGAAGTCTATTAGCAATGACCCCCCTGTGGTGGTCCAGGTTTTCTTTTTAGAGCTCCAGCTCAGTAAAAAAACCCGATCAGGTTGCCCGGGGCCCTTAGGGCGAAGCGGTTGGCTGTGAAGTTTCGTGCTCCAATGAAAGACCAACGGACGGGTTGCGGACTGGTCGAATGCGAACTGTCGGTGTAGCAGGAGGCCAGAATGTTGCCACTGAGCCATGAAGGGCATCGACCCGGTATCGCAATTGATGGCCAAAGCCCGCGGCACCTTTTCCTCATGAGACCCCAGGCCAATCTGCACGTTCACGAGTTGCCGAAACCGTTTACGGCAATGCGAAAACTTGGTTTTAAACAGAGTCAAGTTCAGCGATTGCGCACTGAACCGATAACATGCCGAAGTGCTTGCTTCCACAAGTTACAGGTCCGCTGTTGGGTGTGCTCGGCTTCGTGCTGATGCCAGCGGTATGGTCGGTCCCAGAGGCAAGCCATTCAGTAAGTTGATGTCCACAGAGACGGTTTCAGTGTTTGTGTGAGGCCCTTGTGGCAGCGGAGTTGGCCACGGCTTTCCCATCAAATGCTGGTTATGTAACGTGGGTCACAGCACCTGGGCTTCAATGCGACGCAAGCTGAAGAGCTGGCGGAAGCGGTGACTCTGCCGGCCACAATTTCAGGGGTCTATTTTTCCAGAGAGGGGGGGGGCAGAAGAAATCGGTTCGGGGGTCGTTGCACTTTTTTGTGAAGAGAGAGCCGATTGCCTTTGGCAGAGTCCCCCGCCCCCCCCTCCACCCCCCACTGCGGAAAAATTGCGCCGGGTATCTGTTAAAGACACCCCCCCACACCCCCGCCCTCCGAGGGGATCCCCATACGAAAATACCATCCTCAAGGATGGCCACGAAGCACAGGTGTTTGTGATACTCCTGTGGTTGCAATCACAACGGCCAAGAAACCCACATGCTTTGAACCCTGTTATGTTTTGGATTGTACCCTGCAAGGCGGGCTTTGTCCTAGCTAGGTCTAGGTGGCAGGTAAAACAATCCTGGAACCGACGTGGTGGCTGAAGATATGCCATGGTAACAGGGGTACTCCTACGTATTGGTGGAAAAAACATGTACGATATTGTCCAGTCCGTCCAAGCTCACAGCTTGAAAACACAGGCAAGCAAAGATTCTTTCACTAGAGCTCCGTTTGCGGGTGTCTTCCTCTCCCGCAATTTGGGATGGATTTTGTTGGCGTCGGCGTGCCCCCAGCTTGTGCCTTGATGCGACAAGGCGGGGATGGCACGGCAGAGAGAGTGAGAGAGAACAGGGTTCGAGTATGATGTTACGATGTTTCTGCTTGGCTCGATTCAAGCTTGTGCTAGCTGTTATTGCCAGTGTTGTCGCATCCTGGCTTAGCGCGACCGTCAGTCAATCCGTCAGCAACCGACTGTCGCGCCGGCGCTTGTAGCAGCACAACTTCAGTCGGGTTTCGAAACATGAAGGGAGAAGGTTTCCACCTGCCTTTATCTGCCTCCAATTGGAAGACAAGACGTGCAGTGGGTATGTGTCGATGCAATGCAAGAACCGAATGCTACGACGTCGAATGCTGCCGAGGCCGCCTTCGGGCCATTCTGGGGATTCCTGGAGACATGGCTGCACATGCTGCACGCAGGACGTGCGAACAGCGCACATCTGAAGAAGTATGTCATGAAATCGTCATGCATGCAACAGCACAACAAAATCGCATGACTGCGTTCTACACGGTTCCATGGTAGATCTTGTGGTTGGGTCAACAGCCGTGTCATTCTGTGATTTAAGGAAGGTTTCTTGTCATGGGTGGCTGGTGTGAGTGACAATTCAATTTATCCGGCACCTCAGCATATTCCGAGACATGTTCTCTAACATGGGTGGAGCGCAGTTAGTGTTGGTTACGGTTACAAGCTGTTGCGGTGGCAGGTACTGTTCTGCGACTACCTGAAACATATCCTTCCAGCGACGGCCGACGGGACACCACGATCCTTAGTTGTCGGGAGGATTGGCCGTCATTCTCACATGGCTCTTTGAGCGTCTTTCTCATGAATCGCGAGTCACGACACTGAGGAATATTATGTGCACTCGCATTCGCTTTGGCTTTATCTTGGCTGAACTACGCTGGCTTGAACATCATGGGCTGGTCACGTGCTACGGATCTGTTGCCTGAGTGAGTTGTGGAGTTGTGGTCAAGGTCTCGATTCGGATTAGTCTGCTTTTGCATGGCCGTCGCTGCAAGAAGACTCAGGTCGGCCGTGGGTTTGGCGATATTTACCATTCTGCCGTTTCTGTACATAGTTCCAGCTGGTTTACCTGAGGTGGAACTGGCCATTAGGTTGCAGCGAGCCATGCTACAAGTATTTACTTCATGTGCGCGATTGCTCTGGGAGTGTCAAATTCCGCAATCTCCATCAACCCCATGTTTCTCGCCGACGCTTGTTATTCTCAGGCGAACTTCTTGGTTGTGTGCCGAATCTGACAATGGAAAGTGCGAGTGTGGGGTGCAGTCGGTGCCGGGGTCCTCTTCCTGTTCCAAACCGAAGCTGAGCAACAAGGCCAAGATTTCAAGAGATGGATTGGCAAAAATACTTGACCCTTGGGTGCAGATACTCTCGGTTGCAACTTCGAACTGGAAGCTGATTGTGAATTATCTCTTTGTCAATCTCGACAATGCAAGGAATGTTCTCTTCTGGAATTTGAATTACTGGGACAGTGCATCAACACTTGCCGGTGAAGTCCGTGATCCGCGGCGGGTTTTTCCGCAGGCGCAAAAGCCTTGATTAGCAGCTAGTTGTGCTCTGCCGAGCTGGTTCAAATGCTCTCGAATTCAATTAGATGTTCAGGCTTGGCGGGAGTTGTACTGATATGCAGATGATTCAAACACTGCAGATGCATGCGCCAATGGATTGGAGGCCCTTTGCCTGGCTATGATGTTCGTGATCGCCTCGTATGTCTTCCCACTCTTCGTTGGTGTGGGTCGCTTGCTTGCTGTTGCAGTTGACCCAAGACTTCAGCATTGTCTAGCCAAGTGCAGTGCCGCGTTGAAGAACTTGTCACAAGATGAGCAGAAAAGTGCCACAAAATGAGCCATGTCTGTTCTGCGACAGTCTTAGGATAACCGATTTTTTAGTCGCTGTTACATGCTCATATAGAACGCTGACATCCCAAAAGGCTTTCCTGCCGTCGTGCTCCCATAGCTAGGCATCCAGACAGACACAGCAAAGCTTCGATGGAGGACGCGTTTCAATCGCTGTTGCCATCGCTGCCGTACCAGTGGCAAGATATAGAGCGTTCAGAGAGCCCGCATATGTTCTGATCGTATTATGTTGTGTGGTGCAGCAAACTCTCGGTTTGTTCAATAGCCATGTTCTTCGTCTCCCTGTGCCTGCAGTTTGTTCGGCCCCGCAAGTTGTGGTTCAGCATGATGTTGTGGATTTCTGGTATCACTGTCGCGTCGTTTTGTTCACAGCAGCTACTATCATTGTCTACTCTTTGCTCATATTACCTCTTTTGTCCTGTGGTCTATATCTTTCGGTACGTTGCAGGAATTCTAGTCCGAGAGGAACGATTTCGTGGAGCAGTGGTCGTCATGTTGCTGTCGTTTTGGCGCATTGCCTCTCATGTATCAATTACATGGGAAGATATGGGAAGGGAATTCTCGTTGGATGTGGTTGTTCACGGAGAGCTGTCTGTGTTAGCATCTTGTCTTCTCAGGCCTTCAACACGTTCGGTGTGCATCCCCGACTACGACTGGCGTGCTTGAATTCATGTAAGTAACTGTGGTGTACATCATTATACATACGGCTCACTGGAGACGACCGGTTTTGAGTCCCAGAACTAAGACACATCGCAAGCGATGGAATCGGTTCTTGTCCTAAGGGGGGGGGGGGGGGGGG